CGCACCGTCCCAGGGCGTCCTGGACGCCCTGGTCTGCTTAGGGGGATAGTCTTAACTTTAAATGAACTATCCAAGATATCCACCAAATAGGAGTCATAGTCCTAAGTAACTCACCAGCCACCTCTGAGAGGGACAAGCAAAACGCTGGCCCATTCCTAGGTTTGTACATCACAAATATGGGCCACTGCAGGCTGGCTGATCCAAATAAGCTTTATCTTGTTGTAGCCTTGTTGTAAGCTTCCTTGAGGCCCATGGAAAGGTGGAATATTAAATAAATTAATAAATAAGCTGGAATGCTCTTGAATTCTAGCTTTTTGTGATGTCCAAATACAGCTAATGGAATTAACTACCACAGGATGTGCCGAGGGACACCAGTTTAGATGGTAAGATTTGATGGTAAGATTTGGATGGTAAGATTTGAAGTCTGAAAACACATTTATTCAAGTCTCCATATGATATTTAAAAATTCCTTAGCTGCTGTGTATGCATTTTAATTTTTATTCTCATAGGTTTTGTACTCTTGTAAACTACCTTGTGAGGAGGGAGATCCTGAAAGTCTAGTGCAGGGGTAGGCAACCTTTCCCCTTTAAGAGCCGAGGGACTTCAGCTCCCAGAAGCCTCAGCCATGTTGGCCCATAGTCCCATGATGGCCATTAGCTCCTGGGATTCTGGGAGCTGAAGTCCCTCGGCCCTTAAAGGGGAAAGGTTGCCTACCCCTGGTCTAGTGTGATAATTTGTTAAATAAATAAAAATGTTTTAAATGGTGAATAAGACTGTCAGTGGCCGCTGGTCATGGAGTCTGTAAGTCCACTAGACAGCATGCTTTTGAATACCAGTCACAGGAATAGCAGCAAAAGAGAGCTATTTCACTCATTTCCTCTTTATGGATTTCTCATAGATATCTGGTGGATCTACATGATCAGCATGATAGAATTTAGTTTGAGCTAGCAGGGCTCTCCACATCCATGTGAGCATATGGAATTATATACACATATTTGCATGCTCTTTTTTTATTTATTTATATTTGTAGGAAATTAAAGATGATGATATTAAAGGGACAGCAGTAAATCATTTGGAGGTACATCCAAATGGAAGACGTTTACTAATTCATGCCAAAGACAGTGCCGTGAGAATCATGGATCTACGGATGTAAGTATATTAAAGTAGCTTGTTAGGATATTTAATATCTTGTTTTGAATTCTGAAATTAATAATAAGCTTTTATATTGGTTTTTCTTCAGTCTTGTGATTCTGAGGGAGACTCATTCTAGAGATCTAGGAATGCTCTTTTACCACAACCTGGAGTTAAAGCTCATGTTGAAATGATGTTCAGCTGATAATTTCAGCTTTGGATTGCAATTCATATGCTTAAGACCTTCTGGGGGAAAATAATGAAAAATTATTGATGGTTATAGTAAAAGCTGCTGCTACATTATGAAAACTTTTTCACAAACTCTTTTAGCCTCGCCATGAAGAAATACATTGGTGCTACAAACTATCGAGAAAAAATTCGCAGTACCTTGACACCATGTGGAACATTCCTTTTTTCTGGAAGTGAAGATGGTAAAGCATATGTCTGGAATGCAGAAACAGGTACATGAGTTTGTTATGTTAAACTGTTGGAAAAAGTAGCTAGCGTTTTCATGTATAGGTTCAGTGGTGTCACTAGGGGTATGTGGCCTGCACTAGGTGGCACCCCAGAAGAGGGGTGACACCTGATCAGACTTCCTCCTGCACCCCTCACTGTCACCACAAGTAGGACAACAGGAAAGCACCAAGAGAGGGGGCTGAGGCCCCCTCCACCTCACTGCCACCACGTCACCCTACTCATACATAGGGTGATGGGGAAACACAGAGGGAGATGACTGGGCCTCCCACTGTGTCATACTGCTCATGAGTAGGACAGTGGGAAAGCAGTGAGGGAGAAGGCTGCCCCCCACCTCACTGCTGCTTCATCACCCTGGTCATTAGTAGGATGGCGTGAAAGCACTGAGGGACACAGCTGCCTTCCCCACCTTGGTGCCATCATGTAACCTTTTTCATGAGTATAGAATTATAGAATCATAGAGTTGGAAGAGACCACAAGGGCCATCCAGTCCAACCTCCGGCCATGCAGGAACTCAAAATCAAAGTATCCCTGACAGATGGCCATCCAACCTCTGTTT